TTCTAAATAATTTTGAAGTACACCGTTTACACGCTGGAATTTCTAATTTTTCATTGCATTAAATTTTTTGGTCGATCGGTAATCATTACGGTACCGTGAAAATTAATTTTCTAGTCATGCAGTGTGGGAGGTGTGTTATGACGTGAGCGGATGATTAATAGCGTCAGCCAGCGTCATTGCTAATTAATACGGAGCTTATTAATTTTCCATTACATAAAAGTCACAGTCTCATCCCCGCAATATTCTAACTCATCATCGCGATGGACTAAAAATTGCACAGTAATTTCCGCTGCAATATTGTCGCTAGTCTCGAAACACCGAGAATTGTATTTTCTAATTTTCTCAATAATAATCTCACTCGCTATAGAAGTTGGCTAATAACGGTGTAATTAACTGAAACACGTTCCCGAAGTCTACCCTCGAGCCGAATAAGAAGCTTCTGAAGAATCTCGTATTCTCAAACGGCTTCATCCTCGCCGCTCCATGTTCACACTTTCTTCAGCCACTCGAGAACATGGTTTTATGCTAATTGAAGCACACTCTTTGCCGGCACTCCTCCATTTATGCTTTCTCGAAAACCGGCGACGCTGACGGCCAAGTCGCGCGGAAAGACACCGGCACACCGAGTCGGAGGAGACTCGGTTTCCCACGAAGGAGGATAACAAAGACACCGGTGCAAGAAGCATCGGGAACTTTCCGGACGACCTAATCCCTCCTCGGAGTCCGCCGAAATTCCAGGAACTCATTGGTACTTGAGTCGCTCCACTTTTCGACCGCACGGATCATTACTCACGGCGAGGCCCGTTATTAACATTCTCCCAGGACCAGTTCGTTTCCCATCTGGCGGAAGAACTGCAGCGACAACGGATGATGGATGTCGCGGTCTCGGGGCAGTCGTCCCTCCGACACCGCGCGGTGGGCTGGAATCCCGTTTTCGTGGCCAAAATGATGTTAGCGTATCTGATCGCTAGATTAGGAAACTAAAGTAGCTAGGTTAAATGCAAAACTGTGATTGGAAGAATCGAAGAATGTTTTTTTAATATGTGCAACTTGTCAAAGTGACCAGAAGAGAAAAGACATTTTTATCAGATTTGAGTTTCTTTGACAATTTTTATTTTTCGTAAAAGTCCACAGTCTAGCACTAAACCTACCAAGCAGTAATACTAACTGGCATCAACTGCTTCACAAAAGTGAGAAGACCGAATTTATTTAGAATTTGTGAAGTTTTTATTATAAAACTTGCTCCAATAATATAAGTTATTCAAGTGTTTTCCGCGAAAGAGTCTCGGAACTTCTCAGAATTGCAAAATAAGGAAGCGGTCACTTTGATCGCGGTAGTGATCACATAATCAACCAAAACAAATAATATTCTGGATTTGAGAACACTAAAGGATTATCACTTTACAGCAAACACATTTGTTCAGTACATTGAACTCGACTATTGTTAATTTCGATTCATTAAAATTGACTTTCTGGCACGAAAGGCAGGTTGCATTGCAACTGCATTGTCGTGCAGTGCTCGAGTCAGTTCTTGGATCAATTCTTCGAAAGAAATGATGTACCGTAAAAACCCAGCACTACAGATTGTTGAATATAGAGGAGTAAATAAATAAAAATTCCAGGAACTTCTAGATCACGCCTGAAAATCGTTTGGGGATGTGAACTTCGAGAAATGAAATTTTGACCAGGAAAAGTGGTCAGCCTTATTAGCCGCGGCTCGAATTTCTGGGTGTTTTTCGCGATAATCGCCAGTCGTCACCGTCTGTCTAGCCTCGCCGGATGGCAAAACACGCTCTGGAGTCCTGAGATACCAGGCAGTCTCCGGGAGAGACCGTAGGCAGCTAAAAGGCGTCGCCTTGAACGCCGAGTGAAAGGAGCGACTGCAGGGAGGACAAAGAGGCCGGGAAGTTGCAGGAAGAGATAGACGCAGGAAGACGGCTCCGGGTACGTCCTCAAAGCTGGAATGCCGGAGGCGTTCGTATACGTTCTCTCGGTAGCTAGCCACCACTCTCTCGTTATTCGTCCTCCGGTGTCCCCGGGAATCCTGTTTATTCGACTATCTGTCTGCTATCAACTGGCCGCGAGTTTCCGGTGACATTGTTTCAGTTTACTTTTCAACGCCGTCCCGCTTCTCCCGAGTTTTGATGGCTCGCTGATCTCCGACCAACTCTCTCGGCGACTGACTGACACAGGCCTGATTGTTGGTTACGTTGCCTTGCGGACTCGGGGTTGTTGTCTCCGGGTGAATCGATTCGTTGGGGATTCGTTTTATTTGATCGGTGTGTGATAATTGCTTTCGGAACAATTGCGGCTGCGTGTTGCTGGATTTACAGGTGTACCGCAATTTTTAACCAATTTTATCTCTTCGGTCGATTCCGTCGTTTTTTGTTTTTTTTCTGGCCGGCAACGAAACAGGATTTCTCGAGGTCAGACTTGGGCAAATTTTATTTGGAATGAAAATGAGAGGTAACGCTTTGAAATAATTCAATTCGTTATTTTTGTATTTTGTATTTCAAGCTTGGCTGAAGGAATGATCCTCGAATTAATGTGCATGAAAAAGATTTTATTACGCGATACTCTCTTCTTATAGAGATACAAGACAATTTTAATGCTTGTGCGATTGTTTCGGAAGTAATGAGAAAATGAATTATGCACTGCATGAAAACGATTTAAAAATTATATATTATATTCAATTTAATATGATAAAAATTATACATTATATTCAATTTAAAAATTATACATTATATTCAATTTAAAAATTATACATTATATTCAATTTAAAAATTATCCATTGTCTTCGATTTAAAAATCATACATTGTATTCAATTTCTAAATTATCCATAATATTCAATTTAGAAGTTATGCGTTGTATTGAATTTAAAAATTATACGTTATATTCAATTAAAAAATTACACCTTACATCTAATTTAATTAATCACCGTGAAACATACATGCAACGATCATTCCCCTAATTCATTTGCACTGGATATTTCCGCTAAATCATCCCCAATTAATTTAGTTTCCAGTGTATCACATTAGCAGTTGGATAGTTCGGAGTGTCCTGACGCGGCTTAGGTTAGCTGTTCGGTAGTTGCAAATCTTAGGATCCGGATCGAGTTAGATGTACAGGTGTTCCGAACTTCGAAGATTAAGTTGGCCGTTCCGAATCGTGTGCTCCCGTGGATATTTATTGTTGGAAAATCGGTACAGTTATAAAGATTTAATGCCGCCGGGTTTCTCGGCTGTCGGAGCACTCGCGTTGCTACCTGGCGAACGAGGTAATACAAATTGCAACTGCAAATAGGGATACTCTCATTAGGTTCGGAACGACGTAGACCGCATTCCACGATCGAAGGCTGACCGCTGCTCATGCCGCGCCAACGAAATCCTCCTACTGACGTAATCTGATTAGCTCATACTCGTTAACACTTGCCAATATCGGTGAGTAATGATCAAGGTCCGGCGAAGACGCAGCTGATGCACCTGGATCGACGGTTTCCATCGCGCGGATCGCTATTTTTACATCACCGCAGCGGCATATGCAAGCCGCGGAATCGCATATACCCGAAACATTATTTATCATTTTGCTTAATTCATCGTTTCAGTTAATCCGATGCGTCTGCCTCGCGAAGAGTGGGTGCAGACTGGTTTCGCAATGGATTAAGGTGATAGATTACTTTTATTCGCCAAGAACACAAGCGAACGCGCCGGAGAATCTTGATGCGCAGTGGTAACATGAATAATGAATTTCTTCGCGCATTCGTTACGATCGAGGAGATATCTTCTTCCAAACGACGATACAAATTGCACGGTGATGCCTGACCTTTCTTCGTCGATCGATATGATCAACGATCTTTCTTTTCAAGACAGAAAACTCAGTATTGTACGAATTTCATTCTTGATAAATGCTAGACCTGTCGATTAAAATGCCGGATAAAAATGGCAAGATCGAATGTATACAGTCTTTTCATTATTTTTACTGCAATAGGAGTTCAAACTAACGAATCGATTAAATCATTTCGAGTATTTTGCGATTGGTAATGTCGAGAGCTGAAGGCGATTTTTGTGGAATCAAAATGCTTGCCGGAAAATTGCGATAATACTGCATTGTTTCCTCAAATGTTATTAACTAAAAAACACAATTCCCTGCGCAGATCTGCTCAGAGCATTTCGCAAAATAGAAAAACAGAAATGAAACGATGTATCCACACAAATACATCTCAACTTCCGAAGATCATAACAGAAGCACCTTAACCCTTAAATGCATGACTTTTTGTTTTCAATTTCTACTTATCAAACTTCATTTAAAAAATGAGTGTGTATTAAGGGAAAAAAGCGAAGAAAAAAATTATATCTTTAGGAAAATAGTTTTTTATTACAAAATTATCGTATATAGCCAATCGGCTACAAAACAAAATATTCTTCTGTATGTTGCCAAATGGCAACACGGTGCATTCAAGGGTTAAACTATCCGAGGAAAACTCAACCGTAACAAAAAATGTAACAGAAAAGTGTAGCACGCGCAATTGCACAGAACCTGTCTTATCTATGGTTTGAGCGCAAAATGAAGCACGTTGCGCAATCGGTTGCCACACAATTCGCGCCAATAAATAACCTGCAAGCCACGACTGGCGCTAATTCGTCATCGACAGTGCGCGTGAGTCAGCTAACAAAACAACCGAAACGTCGATATTGCCACTTTATGCAAACTTGTTGCAAGATCATTTATCAGGATGGAGAACACGTTTTTGGCGTGGTTTATCGTAGTAACCTCAATATTTAACTTATATCGCTTAACACTTCCGTTTCGACGATGAAAGTTCATGCGCGAAGTTTGTTTATATCGTCGATTTACCTTTCCTCACCGATTTTCATGTTGTGCTCGTACGACGGAGCTTATCTACGTTCCCATAAGCTACGCTTCGAATTGGACAGCTGTTCGAAGGCTTATTATGAATTATTCAAAATGCGACGCGTCGATGGTTTTCAGTATAAAGGCGGGAGCGTTTTGGACGAAAAGTCGTGCAATTGCGAAGTTTAAGCTCGATCTTCAAACATGTTTCGTACTGTTCTTGTTCTCCTGTTCACCGCCATTGTCTACATTGACAGTAAGTATCCATGGATATAAAGCGATCTCTTGTTTCACTCTCGGGACGTTTTGTTAATTTTTGTTGCACTTTGTTTAGTGTGCGAAGGTTCTGCGGACAATTGTGGCGATAATGAAGTGCTCACGAAGTGCCCACTCTCGCATGAACAGAGATGCGGTGAACCGCCATCCAACTGCTTGGGGGTATAAAATATTTCTCTAAACTATCTTAAAAATTTTATAATTAACAGTTTTCGCACTATCTCGTTTCAATTATTAATGTATTTCGATGTCACTTTGCATGTCAAGTTAAAACACTTACACTGAGCGCTAAAAGTGTCCGGCTTATCTCATCCTATAAAAATTGTAAGATTGCATTTATTTTGATTTCGTGCAATTTTTACTATAATATATGCTTGAATAAAGAAATGTAGTCAATAATTTTCCACAAACATACCTTAGTAATTTCAATAATTCTGAAATAGAGAATTGGAAACCGGTTATTTGATGATACGTTCAGTGTTAAAGATAGATCAAATTGTTTAAAAGTTGCAAAACAAGTTACAAATTTTATCGATGTAATTGATTACTTGGGAATTGAAGCACGATATGTTGTAACGAAAACAATATCGCAATAGAAGATCAGAGAACTAATGCAATGCAATACTGCATCTGTCGCAGTAGAATAGCTTATACGTAGGCAAACAAGTGCAACAAGTGCAGACAAGGCACTTATACTTGTTCTTTAATTGTGTCTAGAACTGCGATGCAGAGCCTGCCTGTCAATGTAAGCCATTATACGTGAGGAATTCCGCGGAAGTGTGTGTCCTTCCCACGCAATGTTAATTAAGGAAACTTCGTCTCGTTGGCTGCTTCAGGAAGTTTATGGATAACGAATAGGTGCAAGGTTATGGTTGGCAATAAATGATATTGTAATTACTGCACTAGTGTCTTAAGCTCATTTAATCCTGTGCGTATAAAAAATGCTGAACTCCATATTACATTTGAATTCGATGTTACATATTCTGATGTCGGGATCTGATCTTACTGCATAAAATGCAGCTGCGCATTCATTGTGATCGAAGTTGCTCGGTACGTCCGTTGTTCTATCGTTCACGTTGTCAATTTTGTACTACCTTAAAACGCATGCATTTGTAATATTATGCGTAACACACTGTAATTAATTATAAGTTAAAATAAGGTATACTAATATGTGTACAAGAAATCAATAAAGGACTTTAATAATGACGTATTTTTGGTTTTTGTTTAAGTTTATTGGGAAATGACTATAAACAGTAAAGTCTGTAAGTCGAGGATGTGAAAATATAACATATAATCAAAATGCGTACAAGATAAATACAAGATATAATAAAATCACGAAATAATACAGGATACAATAAAGAAACAAGATAATACAAGATATAATAAAATCACTAAATAATACAGGATACAATAAAGAAACAAGATGATACAAGATTTAATCAAAATACAAGGTATAATAAAATCACTGAAATAATACAGGATACAATAAAGAAACAAGATAATTCAAGATTTAAACAAAATACAAGGTATAACAAAAACACAAAATAATACAGAATACAATAAAGAAACAAGATGTAATCTTGATGTAATTAATTAATTACATCAAGTAAGTAGGTATGTATTATCTATACTACATATAAAAAAAATATGTATATACCTATATTTATTTTTTTTTATTACATCAAGATTATTTTGATTACAAGATGTAATCAAAATACAAGATATTAAATGATATGATAAAAGCACAAAGGTAATGTAAAATTGCAATACAAAACGTAATAAAAAATACAGGACAATAAATGCAAAGTTAGCCAGAAAATAAAAAAAATATCTAAGTGTTCGAATAGTTTCATGGATACACATTAGATAATTATTGATGGATTTTATGCATTTGTTCGTAACGTGTTCAAAATTCTTAAAGCGAGTAGGAAACTGTTCGGTTTGAAATTCTTGCAATCGATGCAGCAAGATTTTGCATAAACGCACTCCAAATATTTCCATAAATTTGAATAACATTCTGGTGGCCGTGCAGATCTATCGGTCAGCCTGGAGAATTTTATCGTGCGAATTCCGTAGATCCGCAGCTGCGAAGAATAAAACGAAAATCCATGGGACTTATCGCCGGGAATAACAAAGCCGTAGGACGCGTTAATAAAGTCTAGCCGTAAATGCAAATGGTCCCCGAAAGGAGCTGCATAAACACAGAAAATTGATTACAACCGTGCAGAAACGAACGGAAACGTGAAACACTCCGTTTGTCTGATTGCAGAACATCCTGGACAAGTTCAATCCGGGAGCGAGGCAGCTGATCACCGCCGGCAAAGCATATTTGAAGGCCCTTCATGGTGAGTGAATTAAATTGAATCTGTAAGAGGGGTGGGGTCGCGGAGACAAAAAGAGGGATTCGCTCGCGAGACAAATAGCGGCGGACGAACGATAGCGGAGTGTTAAGGATGGTTCAGCGACGGGGGCCGGAAGGGGGCGCAGGGGCCGAGGGGGGAGTTAAAATGAAGAAAGAAAGAACAAACGAGCTTGGAGTGAGCTTTATGCCGTCTCCTGGGTCCTGTTTCAGGATCGAATTGCCAGCTCGTCAGAATTGCACACTGGAGGGGTGTCATGGCTTCTATTTCATTCTTTCTCCCGCGTTCCCGGTGCGCCTGTCACCGTACGTTCTCTTTCTTTTTTTTCCTCTCCGCGTTCTTTTCGACCTTTCCGACTCGGCTGCGATCGATCGATCGTTTTTTTTCCTTCTTCCCGCCGGATTAGCACGTCCGTCTCTTTTCACCGGATGCGTAAACAGGCTTTATCTCGACTGCGCCCCTCGGCTGCTCATTCAATCGTGCTCCTCAACTATTCCGCTGCCGCCGAGTTCGCTGCCGGCGAAATTATGCGTGTTCGCGGAATTGTTGTAGTTTCGTGACGCGCGGTTCCAGCACAAATCGCGCCTGTTTAAGGCCAATATTTTCTTAATCCTTGTACTAGCTGTACAAGGATACGTTCATCGTAGGGAATCGAGTGTTTCGCGTTCACTTGACCAAACTTCCGCGCGAACAGTGGTAAAAATTATGGAAATTTTCGGGATCCTCGATAATTAAATATTTGCGAGTTTCGTAACAAGTTCAATAGTCAATTTAATAGAGGATCTGCGTTTCAATACCTCGGTTTACGGGACCCGTCGAAACGACGGATCGCTGATTTTTTTCATTTACGATTGTTCAGATTCTAAAGGTACATTTATGCAAAATAAAAATATATTTTTAAAATATAATAAGTAATATAATATAATAAATATAACAAAAAATTCTTTTTTCGATAGTCCGAATAAAAATTGAAAACAAAAAGAGATCCTTGCATTCTTCAGATGCATTGAGTATTCTGTTTTTGTTGTTTACGCGTTCGTTTCATTGGATTCGTTACTTGCAGACCCGCCAACAGATGGTTCCTATTCTCGCAGGTAACCGATCCCTCCTCAATTTGTATATATACAGTCCTTCCTAGCCCAACGTCTAAGACAAGGGCCCGTTAGGATATCCATGCTGATGAGCCCTCTACCGTGTCCTGGACGAAACGTGTTTCTCCCCCTCTCCTTTTCTCCTTAACACAGTCACAGTCATTACCAACAACAAATTGATGACTCCGACGCGATCAATTTGATGGTGGTGGTGGCTCTGTCTGTGTTAAGGAGAAACGGAGAGGGGGAGACACGCGTTTCGTCCAGGACACGCTAGAGGGTTCATCAGCAAGGTTATCTTAACGGGCCCCTTGTCTTTGACGTTGGGATGTCGGTAGAAAGGACGAAGTCTATAACAAATTGAGGCGGATCGGTTACTTGCGGGAAGAAGGAGCGCGATCTGTTGGCTGGTCTGGATGTAGCCGCCACACTACTATTCATTTTTCATTATATCTTCCACGTTTTATTTCGATTGCTCAATAAAGCGTGCCTGACATTACTCGAATTTTTCGAAGAGAGCGTGGCAATAATAACTGTATCCTAAAAATGGGAGACGATTTAAGGCCAATGTTTTCTTAATTCTTGTACAGCTACCTTGCTTAGCGCCTTCTTGTTCACAAAAATTTGTTAGACATCAGTTTCATAATAATTTTTATTGACATTAGAAATATCATTTAAATTTATCTAAAGAGAAGTCTCTCGAGCAAACCGATGAAGTAATGACAGTTTTCGGCAATTTGTTTGCAATCTGAAACATTCGTGAACATTTTCGTCACTTTGCATACATATTCGTTGACATTTGAAGACACATAAATTAATTTTCATTACGATTTGTAACCTAATACTTTTCTAAATAATTTTGAAGTACACCGTTTACACGCTGGAATTTCTAATTTTTCATTGCATTAAATTTTTTGGTCGATCGGTAATCATTACGGTACCGTGAAAATTAATTTTCTAGTCATGCAGTGTGGGAGGTGTGTTATGACGTGAGCGGATGATTAATAGCGTCAGCCAGCGTCATTGCTAATTAATACGGAGCTTATTAATTTTCCATTACATAAAAGTCACAGTCTCATCCCCGCAATATTCTAACTCATCATCGCGATGGACTAAAAATTGCACAGTAATTTCCGCTGCAATATTGTCGCTAGTCTCGAAACACCGAGAATTGTATTTTCTAATTTTCTCAATAATAATCTCACTCGCTATAGAAGTTGGCTAATAACGGTGTAATTAACTGAAACACGTTCCCGAAGTCTACCCTCGAGCCGAATAAGAAGCTTCTGAANTTATGGAAATTTTCGGGATCCTCGATAATTAAATATTTGCGAGTTTCGTAACAAGTTCAATAGTCAATTTAATAGAGGATCTGCGTTTCAATACCTCGGTTTACGGGACCCGTCGAAACGACGGATCGCTGATTTTTTTCATTTACGATTGTTCAGATTCTAAAGGTACATTTATGCAAAATAAAAATATATTTTTAAAATATAATAAGTAATATAATATAATAAATATAACAAAAAATTCTTTTTTCGATAGTCCGAATAAAAATTGAAAACAAAAAGAGATCCTTGCATTCTTCAGATGCATTGAGTATTCTGTTTTTGTTGTTTACGCGTTCGTTTCATTGGATTCGTTACTTGCAGACCCGCCAACAGATGGTTCCTATTCTCGCAGGTAACCGATCCCTCCTCAATTTGTATATATACAGTCCTTCCTAGCCCAACGTCTAAGACAAGGGCCCGTTAGGATATCCATGCTGATGAGCCCTCTACCGTGTCCTGGACGAAACGTGTTTCTCCCCCTCTCCTTTTCTCCTTAACACAGTCACAGTCATTACCAACAACAAATTGATGACTCCGACGCGATCAATTTGATGGTGGTGGTGGCTCTGCCTGTGTTAAGGAGAAACGGAGAGGGGGAGACACACGTTTCGTCCAGGACACGCTAGAGGGTTCATCAGCAAGGTTATCTTAACGGGCCCCTTGTCTTTGACGTTGGGATGTCGGTAGAAAGGACGAAGTCTATAACAAATTGAGGCGGATCGGTTACTTGCGGGAAGAAGGAGCGCGATCTGTTGGCTGGTCTGGATGTAGCCGCCACACTACTATTCATTTTTCATTATATCTTTCACGTTTTATTTCGATTGCTCAATAAAGCGTGCCTGACATTACTCGAATTTTTCGAAGAGAGCGTGGCAATAATAACTGTATCCTAAAAATGGGAGACGATTTAAGGCCAATGTTTTCTTAATTCTTGTACAGCTACCTTGCTTAGCGCCTTCTTGTTCACAAAAATTTGTTAGACATCAGTTTCATAATAATTTTTATTGACATTAGAAATATCATTTAAATTTATCTAAAGAGAAGTCTCTCGAGCAAACCGATGAAGTAATGACAGTTTTCGGCAATTTGTTTGCAATCTGAAACATTCGTAAACATTTTCGTCACTTTCCATACATATTCGTTGACATTTGAAGACACATAAATTAATTTTCATTCCCTTTTATCGACGTTTACTGAAATAATAAAAAAATAAATTAAAATGCAGGACGTTGTTTTTATTCGTAATAGAAATACGCGTCGTACGAACCTAAATCCCTTTTAAAAAAATTGCAAAAAGCACGATAACACGCGGATCTGAAAACAGAGGAGTAAATTTTGCGCGAAATTCGTATTTCAGTGATGCAATAAACATAGTTTGAATAATTAACATTATGAATCGAGCCGGTTTCACATGTCACTTTCACTCACGCGTGATGCATTTACGCGCGTAATCTGTTAATTATGCTCCATTGCTGTTTCTAATTACAACACAGAAGCTGAAATAAAACCATTGTCTTCGTGAATGAAAGTGAAGAACGTTTAAAAATGTATTAAGACAGTCTCTTCTAAGAAAGAAGCAAAGCATTGCTGTGCAACGCAAGCATAATTACGTAAATGCAACGATAAGGTGAGAGTGTCAATTGTATTCCATTCCTGAGCCACGCGTCTTTTATTCTCTCCCGTGTCCCGTGTTTCTCCCATCATAAATAACAGGTACATCGAACCTAATCTCCGAAGGAAGGATGATTACGCAACATTACTTCATAGCTAACGTTCATGTCACGTCTAGGCGACACGTAGCGTGGGTAATCCGATTTTCTTCACTTCACGGTCGAATTCTTCCGCATGAGAAGTCCCGGCGTCCTCCTTTTTTTCTTCTGCCTTCGTTTCCTGTCATCGTCGCCACGATGATCGATCATTTTCGCGAATTAACCTACTGGCCTTGAAATCGTCCCCGCCATCGGTCATGTCCAGCAAGAGAGGTACACGCGTTCTCCCTTTTGAAATTGATTCTCGCGTCGTCGGCGATGATTAATCCGGAAACAGCTGCATCTCGCAGAAGGCTGTAACGGAACCCGAGATCCACGCTGATTAAAATCTCAACGGGCGATGTTTCGTATTCGTTAATCGAATCCGACCACGCCGTCTTATCTCTTCATTCGATTCCATCGTTTATTTCGTCGGGATCCGAACGGGATTTCTCGAGGCCAAAAAGGGAAAATTTTATTTCATACGAAGACAAGTGATAATTATCTGATATCATTCATTTCGTACCGTTACTTCCAATGCTGGCATCTGGAAATAAAAATGACATCTTTTTTAACCAAGGAAAGATAATATCTTTAAAATCAATATATATTTTATAATGAAGTGAAAATAGTATCTTTTTACAAGAAAAGAAAAATAATATCTTTGTAATCTAATATTTTATACTGAAATGAAAATAACATATTTTAAAGAATAAAATTTTTTTATTTCAAACGTGACAAAAGGAATAACCATCAGAATGGCATGCAAGAAAAATATTTTAATTTAAGGATTTTTTACAGCAATTTATTTTGAA